ACTGGAAAGTGAACAAAAGCACTTATTTTGGAAGCATCTAAAATAATGGAACACTTCAGAGATACATGCTAATAAGTCTAGACCTGTTCACTGAAAACTATAAAATATCACCAAGCAAATAAAGGAAGACCCAAATAAATGGAGAGATAAGGCATGTTTGTAGCCCAAAGGACTCATTGTTGATAGATGCCAATCCTCTCTAAATTGATTTAAACAGTTAATCACATCTAAAAACCATAACAGACTTTTTTCAGAAATCAACAAACTATTTCTTATATATTTATGGACATGAAAAAAGACTAGGGTGAAACAGTTTTGAAAAAAAAACAAAGTTGTAGGGTATTTCAAATTTTTATACCACTACAAAAGTTACAATAAAATGGCATTGAAATAAGGATAGATATGTAGTGTGTAGATCAGACAGAAATAGACCAGCACATGTATTCAGCTGAGTTTTGATAGAGATACTAATGTTCAGCAGGAAAAGGATAGTCTTTTCAAACTGGTACTATGTATTTAGTAGGAAAAAAAAACTAATATTGATCCCTTACTTCACACTTATGTAGAAAATCAACTCTAAGTGAATCCAAGACCTAAGCCAAAAGTTGAGACTTTAAAACTTTTAAAAGAACACATTGCAGACCATAAGTGCCATCTTGGAATACCATTTAAAAAAAATAGGAAAGACATAAAACAAAGAACAACAGATCGCAAAAGAAAGCTTGACAAATTAGAATTCATTGAGCTAAAAGCTTTTTGCTCTTTACAAGGTACCATCATGCATGTAAACAAATATATAGCCATAGACTGAGAAAATACACATCTATCTTTCCTTCCTTATGTTTTGTTTGCAGTGCATAATGATTGCATTCATCATGGGGAGTTGGTACACATACATAACACACTTCAATCTTTTTGTATCCCTTTACCCTTCCCTTCATTTTGTTTCCCTCTATCTCTTGGTCCCTTTTCTATTTGTACAATGCATGTATCTAACAAAGGAGTTATTTGGGATAAAAATATAAAAAATAAGAATATAAAAAATTCTTAAAACACAAATAACCAAAATCCTTTTAAAATATGGCAAAAGATAATTTCTGAAAAGTTGATATATGGATGGCAAGTACATGCAGAGATGTCCAACATCATTATTCATTAGGGAAATAACATGAAAGCCACTGAGACATAACTAAACATCACTAGGATGGCTGTAATTCAAACGACAAAATAGTGCTGGAAAGGATGGGGCAGTTAAACTCTCATACATCGCTGATGAGAGCAGGAAATAGTCTTGAGTCTTATGAAATGGCAGGGTAGATCAGTAGTTGTATGGGATCAAGGTAGGAGGAAAAAAGGAGAAATTACTTGCAGAGCTTTTTAGGGTGATATGGAATGCTACATATCTTGATTCTGGTAAGATTTTTTCAGTTATATGCTTAAAATAGATGCATTACAGGGTTTAATGAGTATATTGGGAACAGTAATAGGCTTATGAACAGCTTTTTTCCCGTCAGTGCTTTCTTTCTCACAGGCCCCAGCCAATCATATTTTATGTAGAAGAATAAACACATGTTTATTTTTTGTGTTTCATTGAAGTGTTTAATAACAAGTCTAACGTGTGCACAGTAAATAGTTTTCCCATATTTACACATAGCAGTAATCCAAAACGTTCCGTGGAATTTATCATTTGCACAAACAGTTTAGAGTGTTTGCCCAGTGAGGTTTGGTATTTTCTTATTGTCAGTTTTTATAACAGTTTAGTCTAAAAATTTTTCGTACTTTACTGTATTTTGCTAGCTTAATCTGCTGTGAGATAAGTAAATTGGCTCACTTAGCATTTAGACTGCTGAGGTCACAAGTTGTAGAAACTATAGTTTCTTTATACTTAAAATTCTTTCACTTGAATATCATGAATGCAGTTATCACATGTTCATTTATGAAGTAGTATATATTAAAGTGTTTTCTGTTTTAGTGCTTTCTATAGCATCTACATTTTACATGGTTCTTGGCACATTCATATCATGTACAGTAGCATCATTAGCTGAAAAGTAGTAACCACTTGAAAAGTACCACGTAGGAATGCACCAGCAGTAGCCGGGAGATGAAAACAAAGCTAAGCTCACAACCTGCATAAAAGAAGACTTGAGAAGGCCTGCCATTATACTCTGTTTGTTGAACTTTTTTCCTTCCCATTTTAACATGTTTATTGAATACTTGTTTCGTTTCCTACATTGTGCCTGACACTGTGATTACAGAAATGAATGTAGAGTAGTTCCTACCCTTAAGGAACTCATAGTCCAAAAGCAGGGAACTGACCCATAAACAGAATTGTTAAGTACAGACAGTGATATAAACGTGTAAGAAGTATGGAAACATTGCAGGAGGAGAGAGTGAGACAGATCCGTAAAATCATTATTAAGTAAGTCAGTGGTCTAGATGTGTGAAAGTGTGGAAATGTTGCAGAGGGAAAGAATGGCGGATTCTTAAATATGGCAGAAAGATGAGAGAAAAATTCCTTTAGATAGTAACTGAGGTAAATTATTAAAGTGGAATATGCAGTTATCAGTAGTAGGGTGGATATTACAGTGTGATTAGCATGTAGCAGGCTTAGATGCATGAAAAATGGTATATTCAAGAACTCTAAGCCTATTTATGTCAGGCTAAAGTATGAGGCTTGAGAGATGAGAGCTGTATTTTTCCCTTCATTGTTAAATGTATGAAAAACTAGCCTGGGAAGATTAATGGAATAATAGAGGCAAAGACTATATTTGAGTACTGTCACTGCACTTAATTGTAAATCTAGGATATGTGCTGTATTCCTGTTTCAGAAATGTGTATTTCTCTTTTCCTTCCTTTACTACGTGTGTTTGTGTGTGTGTGTGTGTGTACACGTGTACATGTACCTATGTATATGTTTATCTATAGAGGCACTCTAATTGAAGTAGAAAGGAGCTGAGAATCAAGATCTTGTTTCTGGCACTGGCTCATCCTTCCCAGGCCAAGTACTTCATCTTTCTGAGCTGTGATTCCTCATCTGTATACTATATGCAAACTATGATTCATATTTTTCAATATACCTTTTGGAGGGAATCGTAATACCTGAGTACCACAGTACATGAATACCTTTGAAAGAGAGAGTATATGGTTAAAATAAGACATCACAGTACTGAATACCTTTGAAAGAGAGAGTATATGGTTAAAATAAGATGTGATAGAGTATAAGCAATAAAGATTTATATAGAGTCTTGCTTCTCAGTATGTCCTTACTATTGAAAATGTTCAAGCAGTGTGCCTCTAAAAATTATTTCACCTAGCATTTAGATTTGTGAGGTCTCATGATGTAGAAACTACAGTGTACCCTATACATAAAATACTTCTAGATTCGAATGTCTTCTAAACTGAAATAAACTTTTCCTCCTTTAAAAAAAAGTATATGACGTAATTATCGTATGTATTCAGTTAAGAATTAGTATATATTAAAATGTATTTGGTTGATTTCTTTTAATCTAGCCGTGGCAGAAGTGCTCAGACTCCAGGTTTTCAGCTTATGATTTTAAAATTAGTACATAGTAGTACAGAATAATAGGTCTTATTTTGGCATATTTTACATGCCATATTTTACATACTTTAATCATTTCCACACCCCACACCCCATTTTTCTTCCCTCTCCCCTTCCTCTTTTCTAATTCCCTTCCTCCTTTCTGTTTCCTGCTTGTCTGTCTGTCTCTCTCTCGCGCGCACACACACACACATGCACGCCTGCTCCATATATGAGAGAAAACACAAGATTATTAAATCTGACTTACTTTGCTTAAAATGATGATCTCTAATTCTGTTTACTTTCTTGTAAAAAACATTATTTCATCCGTATTTGTGGTGGAATGATACTCTGTTATGTGTATACATATAACACATTTTTTTAAATCCATTCTTCAACTGATGGGCAGCTAGAGTATTTCCACAGAGGAGCCATTGTGAACTGTGCCACAGTAAACATGGATATGCAGGTAGTTCTGTGGTATGTTGATTTTACTTGGGGGAGTGATACAGCCAAATAAAATGGTAGCTTTATTTTTACTCCATACTGATTTCCATAATGGCTATACTAATTTATTGTTAATACTAACAAACGACAGTTCCTTTTTACTTACATTCTGGCTAGCATTCATTCATTTATTGCGGGATTGGGTATTAAGTTTAGGGCATTTGCATTGAGTTACATCCCCAGCCCTTTTTTGAGACAGGGTCTTGCTAAGATGCTCAGGCTGGACTTGAACTTGAAATTCTGCTGCTTGAGCTTTCCACTGTGCTAGAATTATAGCCTTACATACCACACTTAGTTGGTTTTTGTTTGTTTGTTTGTTTCTAATCTTGATGATCACCCTATTCTGAGAGGGATAATACAGAATCTTAACATAGTTTTGTTAAGGTCCTTTTCTTGTATTTATCTGATGGCTAAAGATGTTAGGCATTTTTCTTGTATTTATCTGATGGCTAAAGATGTTAGGCATTTTTTATGTACTTACTGCCCATGTGTACTTCTTTTGAGAGTGTCTTGTTCATTTACCCATTTATTGATTGGGTTGTTTGTTGTTATGGTGTTAAGTTTTTCAGTTGTTTATGTAGCCTGTATATTAATCCTTGTTGGATGAGTAGCTAGCCTCCCAATTAGCAGGCTGTTGCTTCACTCTGTTGTTTCTTTTGCTAATGCAGGAGTTTTAAAATTTGATGCAATCCTAGATGTTGATTCTTGCTATTATTTCCTGGGTTTTCCTCTGTAATAAGTTAGTTATAAAATAGACCATTTTTCTTCCATAAATTTTACTTTTTTCAGTTCAAAACCAGCATTTCTTTTCATGCTACTTTTACATTGTTTCCTGCTTTTCCATTGTTCGATTTGCAAAATGTTCCCTTTCGGAGCAAGAGATAACAAAAAAAACCTTTTCAAGTTATAGGGTTACCATAATATGCTGTTAATATAATTTATCTCTTACCTTTAGGGATCCTACTGGGCAATAGACACCAATCCGAAGGAAGATGCGCTGCCTACTCGGCCAAAGAAGAGGGCACGATCTGTAGAACGGGTAAAAACCTCTTTATCGTAAATTTAAATGCAGCAGGTTGAGTATGTCAGAAATGTAGATTTTAAAAGTTCATTTCAGTTTAGCAAACGTAACCACAAGTGTAAAAGAATGTTTGGATAGCATTTTACATATGTTCAAGGACCTTTCAGACCTATTTTTTATTTGACCTCTGAGATAGAAATTAAGTACAAGGTTTTTTCATAACTAGAGTACACAGTTGTCCAAGATTTGCATCTAGCTCTCTTGAATTTTAATTTGATACTCTTTTCTCTGTACTCACAATTTTGAGGACTGATTTTATGTAACACAACTGTTTCCCACCACTGGAGATGATCTTTCTTGGTTGCTTTGAATGTTCCTCATTGTCTTCAAAATGCTTTTCCCTCCTTTTAGCCATGTAATAGTCACTTTGTGTACAAAATTGGGGGGTGGGGTTAAGATAATTCTTCCTCATGACTTCATGATTAAAATTAATTTGCAAGAATGAAAGAGAAAAGAATCTGTTGTTGCTATCCTCAGTTATATATGTTTTAAGCTACCACTTCAACCATGACCAGACACTAACTATTCTTCAGCTTTCTCCATGTTTTCTGTAATTCTACCGTTTCAGCTAAAACATATACACCCTGCCTTCACGTTCTTCAAGACCTATTTCAAGTGTTTACTGCTTGTGAAGTCTTTATTCATCTTTTTAATTGTGCTCTTGTAGAATTCTTAAGAATTTTTAAAATAGAATTTTTCATACTTTATAGAAATATTTGTCTTCTCTATTGGATTGATCTCTCCTGAGGGGCAGAAAAAAATGTCTTGTTAGTTTTTTTCTGGTGCTGTTAGGCAGCTTTATTAGAACCAGCAGAGGGAATTCAGTAAGCCAGTTATCAGGGTATACAGAATGAAGGATAACTTAGGCCAGAATAATTTTTTGACTTACACAATCAAAGTTTAAGAAGTTTTCTTGTCGTATTGATGGCATAATCTTCTGGTAATGGACCTAGACTCTTTTAAGATGGAGATGTTGACATGCTCAGTACCTAGTGGTTTGAAAGAGCGAGTACATCTCAGTATCTGTTCTCTTGCCTCTGTCTTTTAAAACAGACTTAGCACTTGGACTTTGTGTGGAAATGTGGAGTACAAAACATTTAGCCTATTGCCAGAATTTGAAAGAAGGGGAGAAAAATCCATATTGTTAACCCATAGCATTATCAAGCAACTTGGATGTATAGATTGAAGGCCTAGGTAATTGTGGTCTCCTCTATTTATCTTTTTTCCTGAAATTTCTGGAACTTGAATTATTTCTGGAAGTTGGAATTGGTAGTTGAGTTGACAACTACATTCCTTTTCAATATTAAGCCTGTGTTTAGTCCCTTATATTTGCTTCAGAGTCCATAGAGCAGTCTTTATTTCTGAGAGTTATTCCTTTTCTTTTTGATACTGTGGTCAGTTTTGTAGACGTCTACAGAAACACAGGACTCAGGTTACAAAAGTAGGTGTTTCTGTTGTTGTTGCTTTGTTTTTGGTTTTTCTCCGGTACCGGGAACCGAACTCACGACCTTGCGCTTGCCAGGCAGGCGCTTTTGCCGCTGAGCTAAATCCCCAGCCCCAAAAGTATGTGTTTCTGAATATACATTTTGGAATATACTTAGGATATTCTTTTTCTGCTACTTACCTTTTAATGTTTAAGTTTAAAATGTAAAAGTTTCAGAGATTAATTATATGGCATAGTTCCACAAAATATACATACAATAGCTGAAACTTTCAGTCGGTAGCAGTATTTACTGGCCCTAGCTGTGTTGTTGGTTGCTACTATAGGAGAGGAACTGAAAAAACAGATCATCTGTGAGCAAAGTACTTACTATCAGTGAGATAGATAATATTTAACAAGTATTCTGGAAAGTACTATTCTTACAGAAACTAATTTCCTATCCTGATAAACTGGTTTGTCTTTTTCACCTAGAGATGGGAGCGGGGAGAAGTTATGTAGTATTTTTTATTAGGACAGATTTTATATTTTAAGTGACTGTTGGTTTTTATCTAAGGAAACACCTACTACGGTTAAATTGTGATGGTTCCAAACACAGTCTTTAAACATTTAGTTTTCTCCAAATCTAAACAAGACCTATAAGTTGAAAACTTTTAAAGGCTAAAAGGACTTCTAAATGTAGATGATAAATACATTGACAGCCTAAAAGTTGTTTACTAAATATCTGTAAGTTATGATTCCTTCATCTGTGTTTAATTAGGATTCTATGTAAAAAATCAAATATGTTACACATTTTTTATTTTGGAGATAAGCTTTATATGACACAGAAAAGGCTAAAACTGCTAGAGAAATTTTTTTTTTTAACATGTAAGCAAGAAAGTCTTCATGTCCTAAATGGAAAATAAAGCCTGTAACACCTGGTAATTATATCCACTTGTGGTTTGTTTGCTTGTGGTACTAGGGCTCAAATCCAGGGGCACTCTACCACTGAGCTACAGTAGCCCTTTTTGATTTTGAGATGAGGTCTCACCTGGTTGCTCAGGCAGAACTCAGACCTGGAGATCTCCTTTGTTAGCTTCCCTATGTGCTAGGTTTACAGGTGTGTGTCACATGCTCAGCCAGTCTGATATTAACAGAGTTCTCTGGACCACTTCCCTGATTTTCCCCTGATTTGTATGATCATAAACCAATGCACTCTAATCTGTTATAGTATTCTTTTCTTAATTCTTGAATATGTCAGTGTCTCTCTTCCTTTCTCTAAATTGACCCTGAAGACTTTTTAAAAACTAACTAAAATGTTAGTATTTTTCAAAATATTGAATAAAGTGCTCAGATGATGGACTTCTATTAGAAGGCTTGTGCTTCTCTTCTGGCTGTATAACTTAGTAGTTCTCTTTTGGCAGTTATTAAAGATTTTGAGCTATAGTATCCTCAGATAAAGTTAGAGGATAAAAGTTGTAATAGCTTAATAATAGGTATATTGAGTTTATGTATCAGGTGCTTTTTAATGAATATTAACTCATATGATGTTTCAAGTAACTCATTGATGAAACTGATGGACGTGGATGTTAAGTAAGTTGTCTCGAAGTACTAAGTACGAAAGCCAGCATTAAAATTCAAGTAGTTTACCTTTCATAGTCTGTACTGTTTACAGCTGTACTATTGTCACTAGTATTTGCTATGCTGAAAACCACAACAGTTAATCAAATTCCTTTTATAGATGTATATCCTGTGTAGATGAGAATTCCCTGAATATAATGTAAACAAATCAAGTAACATAAATGTGATTATAAATGACAAAGCAAGTACTAATGAACTGTTGCACCAAGTAGTGATAAAACTAAACTGACTCAAAATAGATTTTGCTGCTTGTCTATACCTGTTGGAAGAGATGTGAGACTTTTTGTTGTAGAAGTGTAATGATTTTTTGCATAAAAAAGAAAATGACAAGGCTGGGGATATAGCTCAGTGGCACAGTGCCTGCCTGGCAAGCGCAAGGTCCTGAATTTGATTCCTGGTGCCAAAAAAACAAAAGAAAGTGATAGAGGATATTCCATGTGGAGAAAACAGCATGCGTGATTGACTTGTAAATAACAAGTACAGACACACATAATCAAGGATGCTTGTAACTATAATGAAAAGTTTAGGCGAGGGTGCAGCTACTTAGGAGTAAAACATAAAAGCATAGGATCAAGGACATTGCTTTACTTCGATGGACTGTAGTGTTGAGAAAGGAATCAAAAACAGTTCTCAAAAGATACTCTTCACAGAATACTCATTGCAAGAAGATGATATTGAACAGATGCAATTGTGATGGTAATAGCCTGAATATATACTATCTGAATAAGAGTTCTCATAAAAATTAGCACGGTAACAAGTTTCCACATGTATACCTATAGCTATATATATGGTGTTATTTTATCAAGTTTAACCTGGCAGATCATTGTTGTGTAGATATCACATGCCAGCCATTTATGCTAGGATGTCATAGTTGTCCATCCTTTTTGGCTTTCCTGGTTTGCATTGAGTGAGAGGAATTGTATTGGACCACATATAAAATAATAATAATACAGTTCATGTGTGTAAGTAACAAAACCTCTTTTACATTTTAATATTTTAAGAGGGTACATAAAAAAGATGGGCAATGGGGGTTGGATATGCCTGGTACAAGAATGAAACATAAGATATATTAATTTTAGCAGAGTATTAATAGGAGTCAGAAGAAAAGGTATAAAATACTATGTGTTGAGGAAAGAGAGATTACTATGGTTTTTTGAGACAGTTTCACTATATAGTTCAGGGTGGCCTTGAACTTACTCTGTAGCCCAGACTGCTCTCAAATTCATGGCAATCCTCCTGCCTCAGCCTCCTGAATTCTGGGATTATAGGTGTGTGCCACTATACCTGGCAACAAGAGATTACTTCTTGGTTTTTTGTTTTTTTGAGACAGGGTCTTGTTATGCAGTTCAGGCTGGAACTCACTTTGTAGCCAGGGCTGGTTTCAAACTCGAACTCTCAAGGATCTTCCTGCCTCGGCCTCGCAAGTGCTGGGATTACAGGCGTGCGCCACCACGCCCAGCCTAAGAGATTACTTCTTAATGGGGTTGAATGGCTTCCTGAGTTACGTGACTTGGTTTTCAGGTAGAGATAAGTAGGACAAGGAGGACAGCATTCATTAAGTACATATTTAGTAAATGACGAGGGCCTGCTACATGCAGGCCATTCTAGTCCTGGGGAAACAGCAGTGAATGAAACAGACATTCTCTGCTCTCATAAGGTTTGTATTCTGATTGGAGCACAGAGCTGAGGAAGGTTGAAACATGAATAAAAGCAAGAGATCATGATGTGAACTCACTATTCTAAATATACTGGCCTTTTATATATATATATATATATATATATATATAAAATCATCCTCAATTGTCCAGCTTTCCTCAGTACAGAGATAGAAGACATTATTTTTTTCTGAAAGTGAAGAGCTTTGCATTAATTTTTCAAAAGTGACTCTAATAAATTTAAT